GGAGGGGCCAGTGAGTCTACATAGACGAGTTGAAGGGGCCAGTGAGTCTACATAGACGAGCTGAAGGGGCCAGTGAGTCTACATAGACGAGCTGAAGGGGCCAGTGAGTCTACACAGACGAGATGGAGGGGCCAGGGAGTCTACATAGACGAGCTGAAGAGGCCAGTATATCTACATAGACAAGCTGGAGGGGCCAGTGAGTCTACATAGACGAGCTGGAGGGGCCAGTGAGTCTACATAGACGAGCTGGAGGGGCCAGTGAGTCTACATAGACGAGCTGGAGGGGCCAGTGAGTCTACATAGACGAGCTGGAGGGGCCAGTGAGTCTACATAGACGAGCTGGAGGGGCCAGTGAGTCTACATAGACGAGCTGGAGGGGCCAGTGAGTCTACATAGACGAGCTGGAGGGGCCAGTGAGTCTACATAGACGAGCTGGAGGGGCCAGTGAGTCTACATAGACGAGCTGGAGGGGCCAGTGAGTCTACATAGACGAGCTGGAGGGGCCAGTGAGTCTACATAGACGAGCTGGAGGGGCCAGTGAGTCTACATAGACGAGCTGGAGGGGCCAGTGAGTCTACATAGACGAGCTGGAGGGGCCAGTGAGTCTACATAGACGAGCTGGAGGGGCCAGTGAGTCTACATAGACGAGCTGGAGGGGCCAGTGAGTCTACATAGACGAGCTGGAGGGGCCAGTGAGCTACATAGACGAGCTGGAGGGGTCAGTGAATCGACATAGACGAGCTGGAGGGGCCAGTGAGTCTACATAGACTAGCTGGAGGGGCCAGTGAGTCTACATAGACTAGCTGGAGGGGTCAGTGAGTCTACATAGACTAGCTGGAGGGCCAGTGAGTCTACATAGACGAGCTGGAGGGGCCAGTGAGTCTACATAGACGAGCTGGAGGGGCCAGTGAGTCTACATAGACGAGCTGGAGGGGCCAGTGAGTCTACATAGACGAGCTGGAGGGGCCAGTGAGTCTACATAGACGAGCTGGAGGGGCCAGTGAGTCTACATAGACGAGCTGGAGGGGCCAGTGAGTCTACATAGACGAGCTGGAGGGGCCAGTGAGTCTACATAGACGAGCTGGAGGGGCCAGTGAGTCTACATAGACGAGCTGGAGGGGCCAGTGAGTCTACATAGACGAGCTGGAGGGGCCAGTGAGTCTACATAGACGAGCTGGAGGGGCCAGTTAGTCTACATAGACGAGCTGGAGGGGCCAGTGAGCCTACATAGACGAGCTGGAGGGGTCAGTGAATCGACATAGACGAGCTGGAGGGGCCAGTGAGTCTACATAGACTAGCTGGAGGGCCAGTGAGTCTACATAGACTAGCTGGAGGGGCCAGTGAGTCTACATAGACTAGGTGGAGGGGCCGGTGAGTCTACATAGACGATCTGGAGGGCCAGTGAGTCTACATAGACGAGCTGGAGGGCCAGTGAGTCTACATAGACGAGCTGGAGGGACCAGTGAGTCTACATATACGAGCTGAAGGGGCCAGTGAGTCTACATAGACGAGCTGGAGGGGCCAGCGAATCTACATAGACGAGCTGGAGGGGCCAGCGAATCTACATAGACGAGCTGGAGGGGCCAGCGAATCTACATAGACGAGCTGGAGGGGCCAGCGAATCTACATAGACGAGCTGGAGGGGCCAGCGAATCTACATAGACGAGCTGGAGGGGCCAGTGAGTCTACATAGACGAGCTGGAGGGCCAGTGAGTCTGCATAGACGAGCTGGAGGGGCCAGTGAGTCTACATAGACGAGCTGGAGGGGCCAGTGAGTCTACATAGACGAGCTGGAGGGGCCAGTGAGTCTACATAGACGAGCTGGAGGGGCCAGTGAGTCTACATAGACGAGCTGGAGGGGCCAGTGAGTCTACATAGACGAGCTGGAGGGGCCAGTGAGTCTACATAGACGAGCTGGAGGGGCCAGTGAGTCTACATAGACGAGCTGGAGGGGCCAGTGAGTCTACATAGATGAGCTGGAGGGGCCAGTGAGTCTACATAGACGAGCTGAAGGGGCCAGTGAGTCTACATAGACGAGCTGGAGGGGCCAGTGAGTCTACATAGACGAGCTGGAGGGGCCAGTGAGTCTACATAGACGAGCTGGAGGGGCCAGTGAGCCAACATAGACGAGCTGGAGGGGCCAGAGAGTCTACATAGACTAGCTGTAGGGGCCAGTGAGTCTACATAGACGAGCTGGAGGGGCCAGAGAGTCTACATAGACGAGCTGGAAAGGGCCAGTGAGTCTACATAGACGAGCTGGAGGGGCCAGTGAGTCTACATAGATGAGCTGGAAAGGGCCAGTGAGTCTACATAGACGAGCTGGAGGGGCCAGTGAGTCTACATAGATGAGCTGGAAAGGGCCAGTGAGTCTACATAGACGAGCTGGAGGGGCCAGTGAGTCTACATAGATGAGCTGGAGGGGCCAGTGAGTCTACATAGACGAGCTGGAGGGGCCAGTGAGTCTACATAGATGAGCTGGAGGGGCCAGTGAGTCTACATAGACGAGCTGAAGGGGCCAGTGAGTCTACATAGACGAGCTGGAGGGGCCAGTGCGTCTACATAGACGAGCTGGAGGGGCCAGTGAGTCTACATAGACGAGCTGGAGGGGCCAGTGAGCCAACATAGACGAGCTGGAGGGGCCAGAGAGTCTACATAGACTAGCTGTAGGGGCCAGTGAGTCTACATAGACGAGCTGGAGGGGCCAGAGAGTCTACATAGACGAGCTGGAAAGGGCCAGTGAGTCTACATAGACGAGCTGGAGGGGCCAGTGAGTCTACATAGATGAGCTGGAAAGGGCCAGTGAGTCTACATAGACGAGCTGGAGGGGCCAGTGAGTCTACATAGATGAGCTGGAAAGGGCCAGTGAGTCTACATAGACGAGCTGGAGGGGCCAGTGAGTCTACATAGATGAGCTGGAGGGGCCAGTGAGTCTACATAGACGAGCTGGAGGGGCCAGTGAGTCTACATAGACGAGCTGGAGGGGCCAGTGAGTCTACATAGACGAGATGGAGGGGCCAGTGAATCTACACAGACGAGCTGGAGGGGCCAGTGAGTCTACATAGACTAGCTGGAGGGGCCAGTGAGTCTACATAGACTAGCTGGAGGGGCCAGTGAGTCTACATAGACTAGCTGGACGGGCCGGTGAGTCTACATAGACGATCTGGAGGGCCAGTGAGTCTATATAGACGAGCTGGAGGGCCAGTGAGTCTATATAGACGAGCTGGAGGGCCAGTGAGTCTACATAGACGAGCTGGAGGGGCCAGTTAGTCTACATAGACGAGCTGGAGGGGCCAGTTAGTCTACATAGACGAGCTGGAGGGGCCAGTGAGCCTACATAGACGAGCTGGAGGGGCCAGTGAGCCTACATAGACGAGCTGGAGGGGTCAGTGAATCGACATAGACGAGCTGGAGGGGCCAGTGAGTCTACATAGATGAGCTGAAGGGGCCAGTGAGTCTACATAGACGAGCTGGAGGGGCCAGTTAGTCTACATAGACGAGCTGGAGGGGCCAGTGAGTCTACATAGACGAGCTGGAGGGGCCAGTGAGTCTACATAGACGAGCTGGAGGGGCCAGTGAGCCTACATATACGAGTTGGAGGGGTCAGTGAATCGACATAGACGAGCTGGAGGGGCCAGTGAGTCTACATAGACTAGCTGGAGGGGCCAGTGAGTCTACATAGACTAGCTGGAGGGGCCAGTGAGTCTACATAGACTAGCTGGAGGGGCCGGTGAGTCTATATAGACGAGCTGGAGGGCCAGAGAGTCTACATAGACGAGCTGGGGGGCCAGTTAGTCTACATAGACGAGCTGGAGGGGCCAGTGAGCCTACATAGACGAGCTGGAGGGGTCAGTGAATCGATATAGACGAGCTGGAGGGGCCAGTGAGTCTACATAGACTAGCTGGAGGGGCCAGTGAGTCTACATAGACTAGCTGGAGGGGCCAGTGAGTCTACATAGACGAGCTGGAGGGGCCAGTGAGTCTACATAGACGAGCTGGAGGGGCCAGTGAGTCTACATAGACGAGCTGGAGGGGCCAGTGAGTCTACATAGACGAGCTGGAGGGGCCAGTGAGTCTACATAGACGAGCTGGAGGGGCCAGTGAATTTACTTAGATGAGCTGGAGGGTCCAGTGAATCTACATAAACTTGGTGGAGGGGCCAGTGAGTCTACATAGACGAGCTGGAGGGGCCAGTGAGTCTACATAGACGAGCTGGAGGGGCCACTGAGTCTACATAGACGAGCTGGAGGGGTCACTGAGTCTACATAGACTAGCTGGAGGGGCCAGTGAGTCTACATAGACTAGCTGGAGGGGCCAGTGAGTCTACATAGACGAGCTGGAGGGGCCAGTGAGTCTACATAGACGAGCTGGAGGGGCCAGTGAGTCTACATAGACGAGCTGGAGGGGCCAGTGAGTCTACATAGACGAGCTGGAGGGGCCAGTGAGTCTACATAGACGAGCTGGAGGGGCCAGTGAGTCTACATAGACGAGCTGGAGGGGCCACTGAGTCTACATAGACGAGCTGGAGGGGTCACTGAGTCTACATAGACGAGCTGGAGGGGCCAGTTAGTCTACATAGACGAGCTGGAGGGGTCAGTGAATCGATATAGACGAGCTGGAGGGGCCAGTGAGTCTACATAGACTAGCTGGAGGGGCCAGTGAGTCTACATAGACGAGCTGGAGGGGCCACTGAGTCTACATAGACGAGCTGGAGGGGTCACTGAGTCTACATAGACGGGCTGGAGGGTCAGTGAGTTTACATAGACGGGCTGGGGCGTCAGCGAACCTTCACAGATGAGCTGGAAAGGCCAGTGAGTCTACATAGACGAGCTGAAGGGGCCAGTGAGTCTACATAGGCGAGCTTTAGCTCCCATATACCCTCTATTTTCCCTTTTTATCTCTATTTTCCCCTTTTAACTCTCTGATCTATTTAGCTGTTGACCATTTATCACCCGCTCAACAAATAATTAAATTTCCATTTTGTTTTAAGAATAATACTTTTAATTCGTTTTATATATTTATATATGTCGTTGTTGTTCTTATTGCCTTAATGTTCCTAAATAAAAAAATATATCACTTAAACAAAATATGTCGGTTTCGGCATCACGGTATAGTATCCATAAATATTTGAACTATCATCGCGAATGCGTCGTACCTTTATGGGTACCTGACGGAACAGTGGCGACACATAGATGGTCATGAAGAAGGCCAATAGGCAACCAATGCCAGCACCCATAGCCACATCGCTCCAATGATGACGATACGAACCCACACGCTCGAGAGCCACCAGCAGTGCAACCACCACACCGCCAAATTGCAGCAGACAACGCCAGAGTTTTATCCAGCCGGTTTTGAGACGAGCTTGCATGTATATGGCCAAAAAGATCATGGCATAGGCTGTGGCGGCCGAGTGGACACTGGGAAACGAGTGTCGCATGCTGTCCAGTAGCTTTGGTGTTGCTGTTAGCGACGAGCAGGTGTAGAATTCAATAAAACGCCCAAAATGCGAGGGGTCAGTACAGGCGGTCACGTTGTTCGCCAACAGCGGTTGACAAACGTCCATAAAGTAGGGTGCCAGGCGGCCGGTAAAATGTTTGGTGCAGCTGCAGGCGATTAACACCAAGGCCAGGCCAAACAGGTAAACGCCCATGAGATTGTAGCATTCGCTCACGAAGGTGGGTATGCGTAAGCCGACAAATACATAACGCTGCGGTGGTTTTGGCACGTGTCCGTATTTAGCTGTGGAGGTGGCGGATTTAGGTGCAGGAAAAGTTACACGCAGCATTTCAATGATGAGGATGGTGGCAGCAGGTACGGCAATGGCCAAAATCGTGACATGAATGCGTCTCAAGATGGTGTCCTGCTTAAAGGGATAGGAAATGCTTTCGTCGTCGCAGAAGAAACCTCGATGACGCGTGCGCAACATTTGCGGCAAAATGACCAAGGCCACGGTGAAGACACTGGACAGCAGCAGCACATCGACGATTAGCCTCATCAGGAGGCGGGTATTGGGATTGTTGCAAATGTTCATTTTTTCTCTCTCTCCCAATTTTTCAAAATATTCAATTCCTGTTACGATTCTAAATCCAGAAGTTAATATTCCGTTTTAATTCGATATCTTATCTCCACCGACCGTTCGTGTTATCTTTCGTTATGAAGCTCTCGATTGAAACTAGTTTCGATTTGCGATGGTCTATTTTCGAATTCCCCTACAAAAATTTTGACTTCAAAACTGTTGTCTCCATTCAAAATAACCAACAGCACAGTTTTGTGCGGAGAGGTGTCCCCCCTCTTCGGTGCAATTTTGACAGACGGTTTTTATTTCGTTTTCATTTGTTTTTTTTTCGAATTTTTTGTTAATATGTTAATTTATTCGTTCTTCTTTTTTTTTTTTGCTCCGTCTCTTGACCGGATGATGTTTCGATGATGTTTTGAAACAAATGAAACGTTAAGCTTTTTGAATTTTAAAATATTTTGTTGTGGGCTTAGTTCATTGATTTACTAACAGAAAAACAACAACAACAAGTGCAACAACAAAAATTAATTTGTTTAAAAACCCTAACAACCTGTTGGCTGGTATTTAGCCTCTTTTTTGCTAGGCAGAGCCAGACAAAAAAGAAGAGACAGCTCAGAAAGGTGTGGCATTGTGCGAATCTGGATGACACTTCTCTGGCGTTTCAAAGAGGTTTTTGTGAGCATATATGTGGACTCGCTCTATTTTTTAACTCCCCAGCTCACTTATGTAGACTCACTGGCCCGTCCAGCTCGTCCATGTAGACTCACAGGCCCCTTCAGCTCGCCTATGTAGACTCACAGGCCCCTCCAGCTCGTCTATGTAGACTCACTGGCCCCTCCAGCTCGTCTATGTAGACCACCAGCTCGTCTATAGAGACTCACTGGCCCACCAGCTCGTCTATAGAGACTCACTGGCCCACCACCTCGTCTATGAGGACTCACTGGACCCACCAGCTCTCCTATGTAGACTCACTAGCCCCTGCAGTTCGTCTATGTAGACTCACAGGCCCCTCCAGCTCGTCAATGTAGAGTCACTGGCCCCTCCAGCTCGTCTATGAGGACTCACTGGCCCCACCAGCTCTCCTATGTAGACTCACAGGCCCCTTCAGCTCGTCTATGTAGACTCACAGGCCCCTCCAGCTCGTCTATGTAGACTCACAGGCCCCTTCAGCTCTCCTATGTAGACTCACAGGCCTCTCCAGCTCGTCTTATAGACTCACTTGCCCCTCCAGCTCGTCTATGTAGACTCACAGGCCCCTCCAGCTCGTCTATGTAGACTCACAGGCCCCTACAGCTCGTCTATATAGACTGACAGGCCCCTCTAGCTCGTCTATGTAGACTCAGTGGCCCATCCAGCTCGTCTATATAGACTCAGTGGCCCATCCAGCACGTCTATGTAGACTCACCGCTCACTCAGCTCGCCTATGAGGACTCACTGGCCACCAGCTCGCCTATGAGGACTCACTGGCCCTCCAGCTCGCCTATAAGGACTCTCTGGCCCTCCAGCTCGCCTATGAGGACTCACGTTTGGTCCTTGGGAAAATATTTTTAAAAAATCCATGTTTGGTCCTTGGGAAAATGTTTTTAAAAAATCCACGTTTGGTCCTTGGGAAAATATTTTTAAAAAATCCACGTTTGGTCCTTGGGAAAATATTTTTAAAAAATCCACGTTTGGTCCTTTGGAAAATTACTTTTAAAAAAATCCACGTTTGGTCCTTTGGAAAATTACTTTTAAAAAATCCACGTTTGGTCCTTTGGAAGAATACTTTTAAAAATCCACATTTGCTCCTTTGGAAACTATTTTTGAAAATCCACGTTAGGTCCTTTGGAAAATATTTTTAAAAATTCACGTTTGGTCCTTGGGGAAATATTTTTAAAAAATCCACGTTTGGTCCTTGGGGAAATATTTTTAAAAAATCCACGTTTGGTCCTTGGGGAAATATTTTAAGAAAATATACGTTTGGTCCTTGGGGAAATATTTTTAAAAAATCCACGTTTGGTCCTTGGGAAAATATTTTTAAAAAATCCACGTTTGGTCCTTGGGAAAATATTTTGTAACAATTCACGTTTGGTCCTTGGGAAAATATTTTTAAAAAATCCACGTTTGGTCCTTGGGAAAAATATTTTAAAAATCCAAGGTTGGTTCTTGGAAAAATATTTTTAAAAAATCCACGTTTGGTCCTTGGGAAAATATTTTGTAACAATTCACGTTTGGTCCTTGGGAAAATATTTTTAAAAAATCCACGTTTGGTCCTTGGGAAAAATATTTTTAAAAATCCAAGGTTGGTTCTTGGAAAAATATTTTTAAAAAATCCACGTTTGGTCCTTGGGAAAATATTTTTGAAACTCCACGTTTTGTCCTTGGGAAAATATTTAAAAAAAATCCACGTTTGGTCCTTGCGAAAATATTTTTAAAAAATTCACGTTTGGTCCTTTGGAAAATTACTTTTAAAAATCCACGATTGGTCCTTTGGAAAATTAGTTTTAAAAATCCACATTTGGTCCTTTGGAAAATATTTTTTAAAAAATCCACGTTTGGTCCCTGGGAAAATATTTTCAAAAAATCCACGTTTGGTCCCTGGGAAAATATTTTTAAAAAATCCACGTTCGGTCCTTTGGAAAATTTCTTTTAAAAAATCCACGTTTTGGTCCTTGAGAAAATATTTTTAAAAAATCCACGTTTTGGTCCTTGAGAAAATATTTTTAAAAAATCCACGTTTGGTTCTTGGGAAAATATTTTTAAAAAATCCACGTTTGGTCCTTGGGAAAATATTTTTAAAAAATCCACGTTTGGCCCTTGGGAAAATATTTTTAAAAAATCCACGTTTGGTCCTTGGGAAAATATTTTTAAAAAATCCACGTTTGGTCCTTGGGCAAATATTTTTAAAAAATCCACGTTTCGTCCTTTGGAAAATAAGTTTAAGAAACCATACTAGGTCCTTTTATACTTTTAAAAAATGACGTTTGGTCCTTTGGAAAACCTTAAGAAACTTTTCATAATCCTTTGGTCCTTTGGAGAATACTTATAAAAATTCACCTTTGGTCCTTCTTAAAATCCCTCTTTGATCCTTCTATGTTTGTCCCTGGAGAAATAATTTTAAAAATCCTCCTCCTTTGGAAAATGTTTTTTTCTATTATATTATTTTGGTCTCTTCTTTAAGTATTCAAGATTAAAATCCGGAAAATATTCCTAAAAATTATTCGAAATTTTTTTTAAAAATACCGTGGGTCCTTTGCCTATTATACCCACAAAATCCTACCCAGTCCCTCATGTCCACTTTACTTTCTGTAGGGTATTCACTCCATCCATTTCCATGTTTACCCCACATTTGCAACAAAAAATTCATTTAACATTTAATTTTTTGTAACGAAAAAAATTAGTGTTATGATGTTGTCAAGAACAGCTGCTGCTGCTGCCGCCGCTGGCCGTGGGTTATTAGAACTCAGCAGTCAACAGCACTCTTTGACAAATGATATTCCATCGAAAAGTGGCTAATAACGGTGATTTTCGTTCAGACATATTACTATTTTACTATGTGGCGACCTGTCACGTTTTAAAAACTGTTACTTTTCAACCCTCCTTCCCCCTCCTCCCACCTCACCTTTCCGCTCCACTCAACGCTGCCCTGTTGTTATTCATTAGTTAGCTGTTTGTTTTTCATTTACCTCATAAATAACAACATTTTTCACCGCTGCCATCGAAAGAACAAAATAATGGCAAATGGCAAAACAAAAGAAATTCTTGGCAATACCTATTGGGTCCGCGACGCAAAGACGCAAAGAATGCTAGACATGATTTAGGGCCATAACGCTAAATAAGCAAGTTTTGTTCTAGGCAGTTATTATTACAGAAAGTCGTTCTTTGAAGAGGGAGAGTGAGAGAGGAGTATTGGTGGGAGGTAGAGAGGTGCATTTTACATATCCATGTTAACATTGGCTAAATGGCAACGGGCCATTTACAAATACCAGTTGCTTGTTGGCCAGCTTGACATTGCATACATTAACCATTGTAATTATTTTCTGCAATGGCAATGAATTAAAAAAAATAAAATCATTTCTTATTGGAGATTAGAGATTGTGGAAAAAAATTAAAACCAATTCTTAAGGAAGGGATTTCTATGGAATTTTTCAACGAAATGTAGTTAGAGGTGGTTAAAATAAAAAAAACAAAAAAAAAAACAAGTAAAAAATCGGCTAAATTCGGCCGAACTTTGAAATTTTTCAAAGAATTTGGAACTTTTTAAAAAAATTACGACTCATCAAAATATCGGGAGGTGCCGTTATATGGGGGCTAAACGAAGACGTGGACGTGCACTGACAATTTTCTGTCATAAGCTGTAATATCTATTACGAACTTCGAATACCAAATTTGAAACAATTCCAGTGAATAATACAGCTAAAATCATTAAAATACTGAATATCGGCAGGTGCAGGTTATATGGGGGCTATACGGAGATATGGACCTGCACAGACAATTTTCTGTCCTTGGCTGTAGCATCCATTACGAACTTCAAATACCAAATTTGAAACAATTCCGATAAATAATGTCCCTAAAATAATCCAAATACCGAATATCGGGAGCTATCGTTATATGGGGGCCATACGAAGACGTGGGCCTGCACAGACAATTTTCATTCTTAGGCTGTAGTATCCATTGTGAACTTCAAATACCAATTTTGAAACAATTCCGATAAATAATGTCCCTAAAATAATCAACATACCGAAAATCGGCAGGTACCGTTATATGGGGGCTATATGAAGACCTGGATCTGCACGAACAATTTTCTTTCATAGGCTGTAGTATCCATTACAAACTTCAAATACCAACTTTGAAACAATTCCAGTAAAAAATGTCGCTAAAATCATCAAAATGCCGAAAATCGGTAGGTACCGTTATATGAGGACTATTCGAAGACGTGGACATGCATAGGAAATTTTCTGTCATAGGCTGTAGTATCCATTGCGAACTTAAAATTCCAAACTTGAAACAATTCCGGCGAATAATGTCGCTAAAATCATCAAAATACCGAATATCGGGAGGTGCCGTTATATAGGGGCTATGCGAAGACATGGACCTGCACAGACAACTTTCTATCATAGGCTGTAGTATCCATTACGAACTTCAAATACCAAATTTGAAACAA